GACTCGATGGTACCTGACAACAACAACAACATACAGATTGATTAAGTATGGTGAAAGGATACAGTCCTGAATGACACCTTTTCCTAATTTTAAACTAGGCAGTATCCTCTTGTTGTGTTCTAATGATTGCCTCTTGGTCTGTGTACAGGTTCCACATGAGCACAATTCAGTATTGTGGAATTCCCATTCTTCGTAATGTTATCCATAGCTTGTTATGATCCACACAGTTGAATACTTTTGTTGCACAGTCATTAAAACAGAAATAAATATCGTCTGGTATTCTCTACTTTTAGCCAAGGTCCACGTGACATCAGCAGTGATAGCCCTTGTTCCTCACCCTCTTCTGAATCTGGCTTGAATTTCTGGCAGCTCCTTCTGTATACTGCTGCAACCATTTTTGGATTATCTTCAGCAAAATTTTACTTGTGTGTGATAGTAATGATACTATATATCTATACTATATAATTTCTGCATTTTGTTGTGTCTCCTTTCTTTGGAATAGGCACAGATATGAATCTCTTCTAGCAGGTTGGCCAAGCCTTCCAAATTTCTTGGCATAGAGGAGTGCGCAGTGCTGTATCAGTATATTGAAATATTTCAATGACATTTCATCAATTTCTGCCACCTTGTTTTTTGCTAATGCCTTCAATATAGCTTGGGCCTTGTCTTTTAATACCAAGTGTTCTTCATCATATGCTACATCCTGAAATAGTTGGACATTGACCAATTCTTTTTAGTGCAGCGACTGTGTATTCCTTCTATCTTTTGATATTTCCTCTGTTGTTCAATATTCTGCCATTGTTGTTGTTAAGTAGGGTTTCTAAGGAGTGGCTGATGGGTTTGAGCCACCGACCTTGTGGTTCAAACTGATCTTTTGTGATTGACTAACTTCACTTAGTATAATATCTTCCAGGTTCATTTATGTCATGAAGTGTTTTGCAGATTCTTCATTATTCCGCAACATAGTGTTGTCTTCCATTGTATGTGAATGTCAACGTTTGTTTAACCATTCTTCTGGTGATTGGCATTTAGACTGTCTCTATCTTTTTGATGTATCTCTTATAGGTAGCATATTGAAGAATCTTGTTTTCTTATCCGTTTCGTGCAACTCTCTGTCTCTTACCTGGTACATTTAATCAGTTTATATTCAGTGCTGTTATTGATAGGTATGAATTGATTGCCATCGTTTTGATGTGTGTTTTTTGTGGTGCTGCTGGTTTCTGTGTTCCACATAATTTTTTGTGCCGAGTTCATTTTGTTTGTGGATGTTCTTTTCATTTTTCTGTTAATGTTTACTAATTCTTTCTGATTTTCCTTTTTTTGTTATTTCAGGTGAAAGTGTTTTAATTTTCTTTGAGGTTACCCTTTAGTTTATTAATTTTTTCACCTGTTTAAAACAGTCTGTTTTATCTTGAAATCTACTTGACTTCCTTGCCATTTGGAAGTTCTGAATCTACACTATTCCAGATGACTTCATTATAAATTGATATCTCTGCTTCCCTATTTCCATTCTTGTAGGTTTGTTTTACTTTAAATACTTCTGTATGTGGATTGAATTCTGGGTGGTGGTGCACTGTGTGGTGGTAAGCCTAGGTTGTTGTCTGCTGTTGTTTCTCAGTCCAAAGAACACCCTTTAGTACTGTTTGTAAACTTGGTCTGAAATAATTCTGTAAAAGAATTATTACAAATTCTTTTAATTTCTGTTTTTATGAAAATGTCCTAATTTCACCAGTCTTTGAGGGACAGCTTTGCTGTGCGTATGATTCTCAGATAATAATTTTTCTTCTTTCCAAGTTTTCTATGTGTCATCCTACTGCCTTCTTGCCTGCCTGGTTTCTGCTGAGAAATCAGAGCTTAGACTTATTGGTTCTCCTTTGTAGGTAACTTTTTTTTTTTTTCCCCCTGAGCTGCTGAGGGATTCTTTCTTTGCCAGGTTTTAGAAGTTTGATTATGATACGTCTTGGTGATTTTCTTTTGGCATCTCTCTTGTTTGGGTTTTGTTCAACTTCTCGTAAGCTTATGTTCTCATCTTTCATGATACTAGAGAAATTTTCTTCCAACAATCCTTTGACAATTTTTTTCTGTGCTTTTTATTGTCTCTTCCTTTTCTGGAATTCCAATCACCCATAAGCTGTTCTTCATGGTTTTCCACATAACTCTTTTAGGCATCATTAGGGCTTTTTATTCCTTTTTTTTTTATTATTCTTCATTGAGAAGTTTATCTTCAAACTTGCTATTCAGGCTTCCATTACGTCTAATCTTCTCCTTTGCCCTTTCAATGTATTGTCCATTTCTGAACGCTTAGTTGTAAATCTGGATTTCTAATTGCAGATTTTGCATTGTTTCTAATTTTGCATTTATTTTGTTTGTTTGTTCTTGTAATGATTTCCTGAATTCCTCTAAAGTTTTTTCTGTGCTGTCCTCTATCTTTGTGTCAGTTTCTTGAAGGTACCTAATTATTATCCTTTCTAATTCTTTTTCAGTTA